TAGCACTCATTACATAGCCTGGTACCAACAGAAATCAGGACAAGCTCCAAAGCTCCTTATCCACTATGCTTCCACGCGTGCCACTGGGATCCCAGACCGGTTCACAGGCAGTGGGTCTGGAACCGATTTCACTCTCACAATCAGCAACGTTCAAGCTGAAGATTTTGGAGATTATTACTGTCAGCAATACCGTAGCTCACCTCTCACAGTGATACAGACCAATACAAAAACCTCCCTGTTCCGTTCCATTCTGTGTAACAGCTGTTTCCTTCAAACAGCCGCTTCCTCAGTGCAAATGCTACATGTTATTTGGGGGCAAACTTTCAGCCCCAGAAACACATATACCTGCCCTCTCCACACTGTAATACACATAAATTAGCAGAGAGGCTGCTGCTAGAGAATCTTCCCTCCACACAGAAGCATTTTTAACTTGTCCACAACCACAGTGGCATATTATTTATTTCTGACTTTAAGTTACTTTACTCGCCTCCTAATTACTGTCCTCTGGTGTCCGTGCCTTGTCGTGGGGGGACAGCTTGTGTGCTCTAACGATCCCCAGCGTCTGTATCGGTGGGGGCTTTTTGCTCCTGGTAGGTTCAGACATGCCGGATTGGTCTGTGCGGGAGGGACCAGACAAAACAGACACCCTAGGCCTCCAGTTGGGGGTTAGGCACAGGGCTAATAACTGTCCCGTAAAAAAAAAAATACGTTACGGAAACAGTGATGGAGAAATCGTCCATTTCTGTGTGTGATGGCCTTCAGAAGTCAACAACCCATATTACTGCCAGTGATGAAAGCTGAACGGAAGCCACTGGCTGGAAGACTGAAGTGCTCAACACCAAGGCAAAAAACAAACTTGTTTTTTGGAACGTATGGACAATATAGGAAACAGGGAAGCTAGCTCAGGTCCCAGCAGAGATGAGACGCTACAGCTTCCACATCCTGAGTGTCAGCGAAAGCAGATGGAGGGGATCAGAAAGATTATCAACAGCCTCAGGAGAAACTTTGCTTTTTTCTGGATGGGATGATGGACAACACCATGAGGGGGTTTCTCTCCTTTTTAAGAAGGGAGTGGAGCATTTCCTGCTTGAATGGAAATTCATCAGCAGCAGACTTATGAGAGCCAGACTGAAAGGGAAACATAATATCATCATCCTGATTCAGTGCTGTGCTCTGACAAATGACAGTGATGAAGTAGTAAAGGACAAATTCTACCTTACATTACAGGCGGAGTTAGAGAGAGTACCACGCCACGACCTAACTATCGTCATGGGAGACCTGAATGCCAAGGTCGGTAAGAAGAATACAAACAACAGAGCAATGGGAAGACATGGGTGTGGCGCCATGAATGAAAATGGAGAGCGTATTCTTGACATCTGTAATATGAATGACCTAGTCATCGGCGGAACTCTATTTCAACATTGTGAAATTCACAAGTTGACATGGTGTTCTCCAAATGGCAGAGATAAGAACCAGATTGACCATATCATGATCAATGGCAAATGGCGATGCTCACTGACGTGAAAGTGAGAAGGGGTGCAGATGTTGGCAGTGACCAACACCTTTTAACAGCCTCCATCAAGCTAAAACTGAGAAGTGTGGGTCCACCAAACAAGGGACATAGACGTTATGACATTGACAAGCTAAAGTCCCCTGAAATACAGAAAGCCTTCGTTCTGCAGCTAAAGAACAGGTTTCAGGCACTTGCAAATCTTGATGAAGAGGAGGGGTATGCAGATGAGGAGATCAACTAGAAGTGGGACAAAGTAACAGCAATTTATCTAGGCTACAGGCAGAAGAGAAGGAAGGAGTGGATTACACCCAGCACATGGAACGTCACAGAAACCAGACAAGCCCTGAAGAAAAACGTTTTAGACACGAAATCCCAGAAGCTAACAGACAAATACCACGAGCAGTATAGCAAGGCACACCGGGAGGTCAAATGCTTTGTGACAGCGGACAAATGGCATTGTATTGATAATCTGGCAACACAAGCAGAAGATGCAGCTGCTTGTGGTGAATGAGGAATCTACAAAATGACGCGGCTTATAAGTGGTAAATGGCAGACACCAACAAACACACTCATCAGGGACAAACAAGGACACCTACTAACAACTGAAGAAGAACAAGAAATGTGCTGGACAGAGCATTTCAAAGAATTGCTGAACATGGAGCCACCTAAAGAGGAAGCAAACATCCAGGAGGCAGAAAAAGATCTTGATATCAACACAGACACCCCAATTAAGAAAGAGATCATTCAAGCCATCAAATCCTTAAAAAAATGGGAACGCTCCCAGCACGGATAACTTGAATGGAGAATTGTTCAAGGTAAATCTTGAGTTAGCAGCATCTATCCTGGCCCCTGTCTGGGAAAAAGTGCCCGATGAGTAGACCAATGAGGTTATAGTGATGATACCAAAGAAAGGAACTCTCCGTGATTGTAATAACTGGCGTGGTAACACACTTTTATTTGTGCCAAGCAAAGTATTGTGTAAGATCATAGTCCAGCGTATATCAGAGGCAGTTGATAGCGTTCTCAGAAAAGAGCAAGCTGGTTTTCGGAAAGGGCACGGATGCACAGACCAGATCTTCACTCTACGAAACATAATAGAGAAATGCGTAGAATGGCAAAGGCAACTCTACATACATGTGATAGACTTTGCGAAAGCTTTTGATAGCATTCACAGGACCAGCCTACGGTGCATTCTTCAGGTATATGGAATCCCTATCTGTATAATAAACATCATCAAAAGCTTTTATTTCAATTTTACAGCAGTGTTGATCACAATGAGCTCAGTTTTGAACTCAAAACAGGAGTAGGTCAGGGGAGTGTCATGTCTAAAACCTCTTCAACATCGCCATCGACTGCGTAATGCAGCAGAAGACAAGCCAAGAGTCATTAAATGGACACCCTTCTGATCTCTTGAAAAACTGGACTTTGCAGATGATGTCATTGTCCTATCACATACCCAACACCATATACAAGAAAAAACAACTAGACTCAACACATTCAGCCAGCAAATTGGACTGAAAGTCAACTGCAATAAGACGGATATTATGACCTTTAATGTTGCCTCACCATCAATAGTATGGATAGAGGA